CGTTGTCTCTGAATGAATTACAAAACAAGTTCTTCAGCGATCACTGAACATGCTCAGTGTATTGATCGCTGGAACTGAAAGTACACAAACAAAAATACATCGAAAGGAAAAAGGGATTATCATCAAATCACTGAGAGAGAGGATCAACAAGTATAATACAACAAAATCGAGTATATAAAAGGTCAAATGTTTAGGGGGATATACATGTAATATGGACGAAGTTTACATATTCTTATTTAAGCTTTTATGAATAGTTGAATATGGGCCGAGAGTCTTACTTGGTAAATAAGGGTGAAGAAATTTACCAACTTGGTGCTTACCGGAAAACTTGTTGCATACCATATTGTTTTAATGGATTAGAATCTTACCTGATAAGGTAAATGAATATGTTGACTTTTATTGTTAAGTGCTTATCGGGTAAGCGTTTGAGTAAACCATCTCTAAGATTAGTAAGCATTTATGTGGGAGATTTATTCAGTTTTTGTTGCTTAATACAAGTTCCTCTAAGCTTAGTTGATACATTAATGAACTTTGTAAGGATTTTAGTCATTTTAAAGTTGGAATTTGATTAACAAATAGTGATTATGCTTACCTTGTTTCACTCATGGTGATTGTTTACTGCTTATGTGGATAATTGATCTTGTAATTGGTGTAATGCCTGGTGCAATAGATCTGATTCCCTTCAGATAATTAATTTTGTAATTTGTTCTGCAAAATTGCTCTTGAAAATTCACAATTATATGATCCAAAAGCAAAAGGAGATGTGTTGGGGCTTTTTTTTATCAAGTATTTCTTGTATGATCTTATGGAGTGATATTGTGATGTTTACTTTTTTATTTCCCTAAATTTGTTGCAAACATACCTGCAAGGATGCTTTTGTCGAATAATGAGTATACACAACATGTTGAAAAAAAGATATAACAACACATATGTTCATAATATTGAAGCAGACTGATTTTTGATATCTAATTCATATATTCCTCCATGCAAAATCACCCTCATAGCCAATCTAACAAACACAAAATGTTACACCAAACCAATTCCAATATGATACAATAAAATCAACAACGATACTTTTAAATACAATGCCAATCCAATCAAACTAATTTCTTACATCAAAATGATCAAATACAAAACAAATACAATTTAACTTTGATATTGATAAATGTTAGGTCAAGTATTATTGTATCCGAGATCACCGAGCTTAAAGATTGAAGAGGTCAAAGCTTAAAGTCAACATAGTCAACATTGTGCTTAATTGTAGTTTGACTTGTATGTTTAGTCAATCATATAAATAGCTTTGTAATGGTAATTGTTAAATAGATTCAAACATTGAGAATCTAGCTTAAGAGAGAGAGAGAGAGATTGTAGAGAGAGAAACATGCATTGAGAGAGTTTATCGATATACATGATGATTTGGTCTATAGATTGTTGTTCTTATTGTTTAATTCATTATTATCTAATTGATATTGGGTTTAACAATTGGTATCAGAGAAAATTCGATTTGATTTGAAGAAAGATTTTCAAGTTTTTGGTTTCTTAAAAAAATTGACTATTCTTGACCTGAATTTGTTGATACTTTATGTTTTTGATTGATTTGTTGTTACAGACTTGTTAGACTATCATCATAAATCAATCCAGTGAAATTTCAGCAAAAAATTTGAAGATTTGATTGTTCAATTTGAAGATTTTGTGAAATTTTTGGAACTCGAACTCAAAGTCTGTTATTGATCAATTTGGAAAAAATATCTTGCTATTTGATCCAAATGTGTGTTTAGAGCCATCATTAATTGTGTTATTGCATCATTTTCAAGCTTCATAATCATATGCTAATCATGATTTGTTGAGTTTTTGTGA